ACGCACCCAGGCCGCCAAGATAGCTGCTCCGCGCCGAGAACGAACTTCCAGTTTCATTATACAATTAAAACGACGCTCGAGCTGCCCGGAGTTTTACTGCGGCTCGTTTACGGCACTTCGAAGCTATCAAAAGAATATAGGTAATGGCGAGCCGCTTAAACGGGTCACCACGCGATATCCGCGCAATTACCCGGATCTTCGTTCAACGGACCATCAATTTCGCGGCTCGCACGACCATAAAGACATTCCTGTTGTACCGCGGAACCGCGATAATTGCGCACCGTCTGTCTGCCCGCTTGTCGTCGGTCCACGCAACTTTTTGCTGATTCAATCAAGAGTACATTAAGCCATGGCTCGCTACCTCCGGCATGTTTTATCGCAATGATCTCCCTGGACGGCGGTCCTTTTCGATACTGGGGCGGGTTAGAACCCTCGTCCGACCACCAATAATTTTCCTTTCCACCGGAGCACTCTCAGGACTCCTACTCTCCCCCATTGCCGCCCTCTCGCTCGCTCGCTCGCTCGCTCGCCCGTTCGCTGGACGGTAACGAAGCCAGTAAACAGGATTTATTAACTTCGCCCGTGCTCGATAGTGGTTTTCCGCATCGATCGCGTGGCCAGAAACTTCCACGAAAACATTTCAATATTCAGACCGGACGTTAACTTCGTTGCTAATCGACGCTGCAGCGTTTCCGGGGACTCCGACCGCCGGTCTCGGAGAAACGGCAGCGAGAGAGAGAGAGAGAGAGAGATTGGCAAACCGTGATTCGAACGACGCGGAACTTCCGATGAAGCGCGCGATCGGATCTCGGCGTGCCATTAGCTCGGCTAACGCGCCCCCGGCAAATTTGTTAAATAACTTATCCGACACCCCGTAACACCGATTTCGCCAGCCGACACCCCGGGCCCGCGAAAATTCTCGCCGGTCGCGGTGTCAACTGCGCGCAACAAGAAATCGATTTCTGCATCGACGCGGTGCATTATGCGCTCCCGAACCGTAACATAATCACGAGGATGGCCGCTGATTATACTTCGCAGTGATTAACCCACCGCCGTTCTTGCCTCGAAATCGAGGTTTTAGCCGTCCGCCGACCACCACTTATGGAAAATCGTTCCGGCGGATATGACATCGTGCGTGTCACGTGTATCCCGTGTAGATCGCTAACAACATTAACTCTTCCCGCTTCTGCGGAATATTCGGATTACGCGGGGATTATTGTAGAACTAATTCGGCCTACGCTTCGAGCGTAGGTGCGCGAGTTCGCGACCGTTTGCAATCGCTCCTCGACTATCGCGTCTTTCCTCGAGACTCGTCGCTAATCGAGTTCAACACAGACGTCGAGCGTTTTAATATTTCACGCCGATGGGCAACGCCAGACCGAATCGTGACGTTTGCGCATGCATCGTTTTATGAGATTCTCGATCGACTGCGACTTCGACGAGGAGGATCTGTTCGTGCACGGATGGGTACTCGGTACGTTGACACACGGACAGAAAGGCACACCACGAAAATATCGGCGGGGTGGGAGAGGGAGGGAACGAATATCCCCCGACGGGTATAAATAATTATTCTCTGAATCTCGCTCGATTAAACGAAAATGAAACACCGTCCGATGAAGCCGGCGCGGAGTCTGAGAAGTGTGCGGTGGAAGTAGCGGAACGTAAATGTTTGATGAACTGGTAAGACAGAAAATCGAGTTAGCCCCGGTAGGGGCGCGAGGAAAAGCGATCTTCGGGGGACGGAAAATCCAGATTTATGTCTGAGTTTAGTGGCCGATGACGTCGTAAAATTACATCGAACACTCGTACGTGCCGTTCTAATAAAGCGGGTCGGGAAGCCGAGTCTCTCAGCCGATGCTCCCGGCTTCCGCGTCGGCCAACACCGTCTCCGGGGAAATGTATGTCAGAAATCCTTTTTCTGTTTCCGAGAAATTTATTTCCACTTTCGCCCGCCTGTTCCCTTCGAATCGAGCGCCCCGACACCCTCTCCCCGTCTATCTCGCTCTTTTCTCCTTCGGCGAGCGGTATTGTCTCGGTCGCGCGGCACGGCCCCGAAACGCGTTCTCGTTTACACGTAATTGTTCTCAGTTAATAATCTAGACGCGCATGTCGTTACGCTCGACTACACGATAAGCGTGTTAACGATAATCAGGCGAGGACGCAAGGGGGGCGAGCAGAGACGAGAAGCATATTTTGATTGCACAGCAGTTAACCCCGAGCAACTATCAATATGTGATTAAGTCGAATCGAGTTATAATTGCCGCTCGCCGAGCTCCGACGATTCTTCGGCTCGTATTCGGCTACAATTAAGGGCCCCGACGTATAATCGCCGTCGCTAATGCGAAGTCGTCGAGCGAAATAGCCTTTCTACTTATCGGTTCTCCCTGAAAGTGATCGAGACTTCGAACAGTGGTGTATTGGTTTTTTCTAAATTGACCTCGATGGCAAGGCTGGTGTTACGGTTCGAGAAAAGATCAAACGGATAAATATCGCCGGTCTG